CAGACCGACCTGATCTTCGATTTGACTAAATTGACTCGCCGGGCTACAATAACCATTAGATTTGTCTTTACCAAGTATTGTACGGCGACAATTCGTTCATAGTGGGTGATTTCTTAACCAAAATGTTGACGTTTTGGAAGACTAGAGTCCCCAACATTGCTCTCAGATGCGGTCACGACAACGAAGGCTTGTTCGTCGATGCCGCCTAGTTGTTGGGTTTGGGCCGGGAGATGTGAGGCTGAGAGACAAAAGAGAAAGTGTTTAGTGAGGCTGGAAATTGAAAAGTGAGGTTGAGAGCATTAAGAGAGATAGAAGAGTTTAGAGAGAGAGAGAGAGAGAGAGAAGAGCATGAGTGAGTGAATATGTATTTTGAAATTTAAAATCTGGAAAGTGAGGCTGAGAGAAAGAGAGATAGGAGAGTGTAGAGAGAGAATGAGGTGAGAGGTGAGATAGAAAGAGGGAGCATGGGTGGGTGCAAAGTTTTAGACGATGATGTTAGATGTGAAGATGCTACTGTGCATAAAGCACATCAGTAACTGCTGCACATGGTACGGTGCCGTTTTGTGGCTTTTAAAAATATTCCTTGTGACAAAATGTTTTATTAATTTTCTTATTGGTTTCATTTATTTAAAGAAAAAACCTTTGACCAAAATATTATTGATTTTCATATTGGTTATTAAAAAGTATTATACTTACAACACATTTTGAGTATTTGTTCAAAATCAAATATGTTAGAAAATTTTAAATTTTTAATACATATTTAAAAATATATAAAAATTATATTAAAAATGTAAACATGTATATAAAAATATAAAAGTGTGAAGGAATATGTAAAATGTGTATTAAAATTTTAATTTTTAAACATTATTTAATTTTAACAATTTGTAGCCTAGTTTTTTTTTAAATACAACCAATAAGAAAATTAATAATAATTTGGTTAAAGTTTTTTGGGAAAATTATAAAAAAGAAACTCCAAGGATTTGACCTTTATAACAAAACCCTAATATTTTGATTTGTTTTCAATCTAAACTGTTTATCTATTTATATTAAGTAAAACTAACGAAAAAAATAATATTTTAGCCATTAAATTCAATAAAAAAAATGGTATTTTAAACATTTTATGTATACCTACATTCAATTTAATGGCTAAAATACACTTTTTATATCGGTTTTATTTAATAAAAATAATCAAATAATTTAGATTAAAAAAAATAAGGGTTTAAATTAAAAAAGTTAAAACCACAAGATTTATTTTATTACCATGGTTAAACTGTGAGACTTTTTTTTGTTGTGATTTGTCCAATTTTTTTTTTTAAAAAAACTATAGCCAAACTTTGTTCTAAGAGATATTTTTAAAAGTCTAATACCATTTTATACACACACACACACACAAAAATTAAAAACGAACGAAAGACTTATTCCCGAAAAAGACAATTGTATTGGAGAAATTAGTGCACTATACTTGAAATTTAGGAAAAAAACTCAAAAAAAGAGATTGGGTGGGTGGATGGATAGGTGAAAAGACTCAAAAAATAAGAGAAACACGGAGAGATATATTTTGAGGGGAAAGACAAAAGTAAATAAATCATCTTGACTCTTAAATTGTTAGATGAAATAATATGAGCCGTTAGATACATTTTGAGACATTTTCAAAAACCGTCTTACCATATTATATAGATTTATTTGTTTATTATTTTTGCCACAAATTTTTTAATCCCAAACTAAAAAAGTCATAACTTCAAAAAGTTAACTATTTTTTTTTTTTTTTGTCAAATAACAACTTTGGAAAGTAAATTAAAAACTACTTTTCAACTTTTAACTCACTTCTCTTTAAAAAAATAATAAAAAATAATAAAAAATTAAAAAATTAACTTTTAATCATTTTCTCAAAATACTCTTTTAACTTGCGTTTGGTTTAGTTATGGTTTCGTACACAAGCAAGCAAAGGTGTTTTGAATTGAGGCTCTAACTCTCTACGGGCCCTCTTAACCGAAATATTTGACCTCTTTATTTTCAACTACTTTTACCCTTATTTATTTGTTTATTTTTGGGTAGATATATGTTTTTTTCCTAAATCAAATTTCTGGTTGTTGTCAACTTGGCAATAATTTGATTGCTGTCACTTTGCTTTTAATTTTAAACAAACTATCACAACAACCAGTAGCGAGCCAAGAAATTAAGGTAGAGAGGATACTTTATAATTTTAATTTTTTTTTAGTGATCAATAATAAAGTAATAATAATTTTATGAGTTAAATTTAAGTATACAAATTTAATTATTTATTATTAATAGTAACGAATCAAAATTCTATAATAATGTGAAATAACTCGAACACAATAGTAATGTAAATATGCAATTTTAACACAAAAAATTACAAATTAAAATTCTTAATTTTAGAAAATAGAAGCAAATCATTTATAGCACAAATTATTACAAAATTTCTATAATTTTTATTTGATAGAAAAATATTAGAGAGATAGTATTGACTATAAAAATGTGTTTTGAATAGAAACTATTAGATAATCTCAGAATATTATGTGGTGTTGATGACGTGGTGCTTTACATATAAGAAATCGCAACTCACACTAAATGATTCACCTATTATCTTCTAATTACCTAACAATAATGAGTTACTATGTTCCATTTATAAAATTTGATATTATAATATTGATTTAGACCACCACATAAATAACACCATATAGCATTCTAAGAGTACTAAATAAATTACATATTGTGTGTGAACAATGCAACCAAAAAATAAAATAAAATAAAAACTAAGAGGGACACGTGACCCCCTTATCCCTGCTATGGCTCCGCCACTGACAACAACACTTCCTCCTTTTATCAGAAGAGAATACAATTTCATTTTAATTTGAAATCAAGTTTAATTTATAAAATCTTTTTAGACATTGTTAAAGGTATAGTTATTTATTTATTTATTATTTTTGTCTCAAATTTTTTAATCCAAAACTAAAAAAGTCGTAACTTCAAAAAGTTTAAGAATTTTTTTTTTGTCAAATAACAATTTTGGGAAGTGAGTAAAAGTCACTTTCTAACTTTTAACCCACTTTCTCTCTCACAAAAAAAAAAAATTAAAAAACTAAAAATATCAAAAAATTAATTTTTAACCATATTCTCAAAACATCCTTTAACCTGCGTTTGGTTTAGTTATTGTTTTGTACAAGCTCCAATTCCCTCTTAACCAAAATATTTGTTCTCTTTGTTTTCAACTTCTTTTTATTTTTATTTATTTATTTATTTTTGGATAGTTATGGTTTTTTTTCTTAAACCAAACTTGGCAATAATTTGATTGCTGTCGCTTTGCTTTTAATTTTAAATAAACTATCACAACAAGACTTCCTTCTTTTATAAAAGAGAATACAATTTCATTTTAATTTGAAATCAAGTTTAATTTTTAAAATCTTTTTAGACATTGTTAAATGTATAGGTATTTATTATTTTTGTCTCAATATAGGTAAGAATTATGTCACTCGATGGAAAATTATATGATATTCATGTCACATACCAATCATAAATTACTATATCCTTGTTATATTCCGGTCTTTTTTTTTTGTTGTTGATTTATTAACTTACTATAAAAAAGTGTGCAAAAATAAAAATAAAAATAGGGAGATGATATGACCTAAATAAACTAATAAATTAACTTTTTTTAACCTTTTCAAAAGAGGCCATCATCACCAAGTCAAAATTGTGGACCACATCTCTTCTACCAATTACAAAGGTTTTGTGACCGAATAACTTCAGTCATAACATCATATAAAATGATAAGTTAAAATTAATGTGTTTTCGTATTGAAATTTTTATTTTACTTTTTACTAATGATCTCTTTCAATTTGTGAAAATCAAATTAAAAATTTTGAAACGAAAGTACAAATTAACAAATTTTTGATGCCAAAATATATTATTTTTTGTACTAGACAAATAATTTAATTCACTATATTTAGTTTTAATTTTTTAAAAATTGAGTTTTTTTATTTTTCATATTTTTGCTTTTAGCGAATATTTTTAAAATTTTAATAATTTTTTTTACTTTTTTAGATGCTTCCTTCTTTTTTTCAAAAGAGAATACAATTTCATTTTAATTTGAAATCAAGTTTAATTTTTAAAATCTTTTTAGACATTGTTAAATGTATAGGTATTTATTATTTTTGTCTCAATATAGGTAAGAATTATGTCACCATGGAAAATTATATGATATTCATGTCACATACCAATCATAAATTATTATATCCTTGTTATATTCCGGTCTTTTTTTTTTTGTTGATTTATTAACTTATTATAAAAAAATGTGCAAAAATAAAAATAAAAATAAAGAGATAATATGACCTAAATAAACTAATAAATTAACTTTTTTTTAACCTTTTCAAAAGAGGCCATCATCACCAAGTCAAAATTGTGGCCCACATCTCTTCTCTTCTACCAATTACAAAGGTTATGTGACAGAATAACTTTTTAATGTATAACATCATATAAAATGATAAGTTAAAATTAATGTATTTTCGTATTGAAATTTTTATTTTACTTTTTACTAATGATCTCTTTCAATTTGTGAAAATCAAATTAAAAATTTTGAAACGAAAGTACAAATTAACAAATTTTTGATGCCAAAATATATTATTTTTTGTACTAGACAAATAATTTAATTCACTATATTTAGTTTTAATTTTTTAAAAATTGAGTTTTTTTATTTTTCATATTTTTGCTTTTAGCGAATATTTTTAAAATTTTAATAATTTTTTTTACTTTTTTAGATGTACCTTACTTCGATGTATTAAAAAGTAAAATATTTGTAAAACAAATATTTAAAAAAATTAATAAATATACAAGAATATGAAAATATACTGAATTTTCATATTTTTGAAAAATAAATTCTGAAAAATCAAATTAAAACAAGCTGATTAATTTTTCTTTTCACATTTATTGAATTTTTTTTATAAAATAAAAAACCCAAAAAAGGATAATAGAATATAAAAACGTACGGCGCCAATAAGGATTATAAAGAAGGAAGGGTATGGCGCGAACTTTAACGATGCTTCTCGAGCAAAACTCAGCTGTGGCGCCTCGGCAATGTGGGTTTCGCACACTTGACATTTTTGCTACGACAAATCGCTACGAACCGAACAGGATTTTAACCGGAAAAGATTAAAGTGTAAGATTTGACACAATTGCTGTTTGATTTAATGCCTCGTCCAAATTTTCTGAATGTGTTAAACTCTCGAGGTTCATTCATTGCAAATTTTCTGTTTTGGTTGTGAGTAGGTAGTTGTTTGGTGCTTTTGAAATGATTTTTTAATTTTGTTTTTTATTCGATCTTGATGGAGTTTTTATTTTTCTGATTTATTTTTCTTTGTTTTTATGTCTTATTTTCATCAGAGCTGTTTGGCTCTTTTTTATTTGTTTTGACTCTAATTTTTTTTTTGCTGGAAAAAGGTGAGAAAGATAATTAAACTGATAAAATTTGTAATTTTCTATATTCTCTCAGAAAAAATCTACTAATAAGAGCTTAATTCCACTCTATGACTTGGTTATAACACAATTTTCTTTTTCTCTCTCTCTTCCTCTTCTCCTTCTCCTTCTTCCTTTTTTTTTTTTTCTTGACTTTTCTCAGCGACCAGGTGTAAAATGGAAAATTTCAATGAGGAAGCTTTTGATGTGTGTATAGTTACAGTCACTTAACATGTACTAAGAATGACACTTTTTCCTTAGTCACAGCTTAAATGGGGAAATTTCCTTCTAGTATTTGTATATTAATTGTTATTATCTTGCAGTATAATTCCAATGGCTACTAGTATAGCCGCTGGAAGTGGCAAACTGAATTTTAAAGAGAGGGTCTGCTGGGGACAAGGTTGCAGACAAACTTCTTGGGTCTCTGGTGTGGCCTTTCAGAGATTTGAACTGAAGGAGCTTTCATGGTAAGTCATACGGAACATGGTTATAGCATTTATCTTGTCTAATGATCTAGAATTTGCTTTAATTGTGTGTACTGCAGTTATGTCTCCCAATTTCAATTCTGAGATAGCATATGTCCTTCTTGCCCAGAATGTGCTTTTTCTTGAGTTTTAATTAATTTTATCTGAAACCATTATTGATTTGATGCTCCACCAGCTTATATCAATGCCAAATTAATTTAAATTTTATTTGTGCACAAGATACGAACGATGCTTTGGCAAATCCTACAGTTTATGAAATGCTTCTTGCTTTCAATTTCGGATGTGTTGGCATACAAAGATTACTGCAGATAAAAATGTTTTTTTTCTGGGTATGAATAAGTTTTTTTGGTAAGAATTATAGAAAAAGATAAAAATGTTTTTTTTCTGGGTATGAATAAGTTTTTTTGGTAAGAATTATAGAAAAAGGTTTGCTGTTAAGAATTTTGTACAATCTTAGAACAGATGAAGAGTGACAATTAATTGTGAAAAATCCTTTACAGATACTGTAGTTTTATCGTACAGCTTATGTGAAGTAGACTTTGTAGCATACCCACCTCATGGAAACATTTGTAGTCCTTTTCCTAGATTAAATTTTTTATCACAAAAGCAGAGAATCAAATTTTCAGCATATATGTACTTCTAAGTGCAGAGGTATGGTGTTTTGTACATTTAGGTCAAGTAGGGTGTACAAGCTCTTGCAAGTCCAGAGATGCAACCCATCCTCTTCTCCAATTATTGCAAATTCAAAGTCCCTTAGAACAGTCACTGCATCTTACCTGAGAGATGGTTCCACAAAGTATTTTGATTTTTCTGTGATTGGTAGCGGAGTTGCTGGCCTTCGCTATGCTCTTGAAGTTGCAAAACATGGAACTGTTGCAGTGATTACCAAGGCTGAGCCTCATGAAAGCAACACAAACTATGCCCAGGGTGGTGTAAGTGCTGTATTGTGCCCTTCAGATTCAGTGGAGAATCACATGCAGGATACAATTGTAGCTGGGGCTTATCTATGCGATGAGGAGACTGTTAGAGTAAGTTTGAAACTAATATTTTCTCCCTAAATTACAATTTAGTGCCTCTTATCTCTTGGATGAAATCTTTATATATTTTGATGGCTCTAAAGCCAATTTGTTCTTGAATCACTTTCGGTTCTGTTGAATCTGAAAATATGTTAATGAAGCATATATGCTCGTCTAAATAGATTATTGAGGCCTCCCTTGCTTACTGTTGAGCTTTATTTGATTTAGTTACATTATCCAGGTCGTGTGTACTGAAGGACCTGATAGAATTCGAGAATTGATTGCTATGCGTGCATCATTCGATCACGGGGAGGATGGAAACTTGCATCTTGCAAGGGAAGGGGGTCACTCACATCACAGAATAGTTCACGCTGCCGATATGACAGGGAGGGAAATTGAGAGGGCACTTTTGGAAGCAGTTGTCGATGATCCTAATATATTTATGTTTCAACACCATTTTGCAATAGATTTGCTGACTTCTGAGGTTTGCTTTGTACTGTGCTTCCTCTTGTTTGCTCAAATATTTATTTTACCCTAAACTGTAACTGGTCTCACTTTTTTGTTGGCAACTTGGCATGAGTAAATGTACATATCATGTGTTGAGTTAAGCTGCAGTATCACCATGCGAGGACAAGTGTGATTTGTGAAAGTTCTATTAGTGTTTATTTGATGGTGTTAAGAGGACTCTCAAGGACTGAAATACTCCACAGGTTTTGACTAACTTGAATAAGTATTGCTGGGCTTGCAGGATGGTTCTGACACATTTTGTCATGGTGTTGACACTTTGAATTCTGAAACACAGGAGGTGAGAATTGTGATTCTTGATCTCGTAGTTTCTTTTCCTTATTAACTGCAAGTGTGTGTGCCTTTTTTTTCTTTCTTTTTTTCCAGGAAACTTCATATATTTATTCTCACAGCTTACAATTATTATTTTGCTTTTCTGAACTTGTAGATCGTACGGTTTATTTCAAAGGTGATTTTGCTTGCATCAGGTGGGGCTGGACATATCTATCCAACAACTACAAATCCTCCGGTACTTTTGTGATTTTCAAAGTATTTCAACAGACTGTTGTTGCCTTTTATATTTTGGCTATTTTCGGTAAGTGAAGCTTTCTACTAAAGGCTGAAGCATTTGCTAATTTTTTGAAAAATATTAGCTTTAGAATCTAGAGTGGTAACCCATCTAATAAACCTTGTTATAACTAGTTTGTTAGAGGTATTAAAATGATTATAAGGTGATGATGTTATTACTAACTTGTTGGAAGGCCCAAGGATGAAAATTGATCTGATATGTTTTCCATAGGTATGAGGGGAATTTTTACTTTTCAGGCCGGACCACTGCTTATTATTAATAAAAAACTGATCCATTGTCAAAAACTTGTGGTTGCCACAGAAAACAACATTTAGGTGTAGGTGATGTCATCACTTGAACTCTTGGATGATCCACATACATAAGAGCTCATTTAATTCAAAAAGCAAAATTGCAGTCACAATGCTAGGTATGACATCCCTCTCATGGGTTGCTTGAAAGCACCTTTATCATGCATGACACAATATACTTAAAGTCTAGAAACCATCCTATATTTGACAATTGAGGTTGACCATTTGTGATTGTACTTTCTTTAAAAATATCCTTAACTATCAAATTGAACTTGTTTTCTAATGACATCTATGAAGCACGGATACTTCAAAAAGGGTGACGTATCCGTATCGGATACTTATCGAATACCGATACTCCTCGGATACTCGCGGATACGTATCGGATACTTCTTAAAAGTATCGGATACTTCTTAATTAATTTTTTATTAATTTTGAAGTATCGGATACTTAATTTTGAAGTATCGGATACTCGAAGTTACATATTACTTATAATATTTTGTTTAGTTATTTGATAAGAGGAATATAGTGAGAGTTAAAGTAATAGAATTTGTCAAATTGATGTATCCTTGTTGTCTCTCTCACTTCTCTCTCTCTTTCTCACTCTCTCACGTTTCTTCTCTCTGCTCTCATTCTTTTTTTGATGTTGGCATGTAAGGATGATGTTTAATTTGCATTTGCTTTTGCTTTTAGTTTTGAATGTTTTATGAATGTTTGAGCACTTTTAGGTTAATAGGAATTCCTCTCTTTATTTATTAATTTACTTTAAGTTTTATTTTCATGCATATTACATTATTAAAATTATATAAAAAAAAAATTACGAATGTATCCCCGCTGTACCCATTTCATACTTTTTCAAGTTTTGACATATCGCCATATCCACATCCTCATCTCACCATATCTGTATCCGTGCTTCCTAGGCTATCATTGATGACTTAAAAAAGTATATTTGTTGAAATTTTTATTCAAGAATGGTTTTTTGGCTTTAGCTAAGGTCTTGTAATATTTATCAAGTTGTCTTTTGCTTTAGGTTTTATTTTTATGCATATTGCTTTACTAAAAATTGTTAAAATAATATTTTTTACGAACGTATCCCCGCCGTACCCGTATCCTAGTTTTTCAAATTTTGTCGTATCGCCGTATCCATATCGTATCGTATCCGTATCCCGTATCTATATCCGTGCTTCCTAGAATGACATCATCAATTCAAAGTTATACAGATTGGGAAATTGAGATGGTCTGGCTGTCATGTTTCCCACCATTTCCATCCTTATATCCCCTTCCTTTTTACAAGTATTGCATCCATGTTTCATTTTATTGTAGGCTTTTAAATTGGTTATAAGTTATAACCAGCTCTACTTGAAAGAATTTGTTTTTTGATTTGGTTCTGGAAGAAAAAGTTGCATTTTCAGCCCTGTTTTTACATAATTTTGTATGTGTAAAAAGTTAGGAGAATTATACCTGTTGGTTTTGCCTAATGAACCATATTTTGATTCTTTTTTGATATATTCTTATAGGTAGCCACTGGTGATGGAATGGCAATGGCCCATCGAGCCCAAGCTGTGATTTCCAACATGGAGTACGTAATCATTGATACATGCCAAAGAAGAATTAATTCCTTATATTGTTGTGTCAAACTTTATTTTTATTTTTTTTAAAAAGGACAATTATGTTTTACCAAATGGATTACTGTCTTAATATTATGTACAGGGGTTCAAAGTGCAAAGATGCCATGAAATGAAACCTGACTTTCCTGTTTATCTGCATGGTGTAATTGCAATGATTTGGTCAAGAACAGTGATCATGTTGTTTCTTAAAATTTTTATTTTTTATTATCATGACGTGTGTGAAAACATATATTCTATTATATTTTCAATTTTTTCTTGTTATCATCTAGTAACCTGGATATAGACTTCATCCCATTTTGTATGATACATATTAATTTCAGGCAAACCATTAGATTAGTGACTGAGGTCTGTTGGATTATTTTGTTGCCAGATTTGTTCAGTTCCACCCAACTGCCTTGGCCGATGAAGGCCTTCCCATCACACCAACCAAGACCCGGGAAAATGCTTTTTTGATCACTGAAGCTGTCAGAGGTGATGGAGGATTACTCTACAATCTAGGCATGGAAAGATTCATGCTGCTCTACGATGAGAGGGCAGAGCTTGCTCCTAGGGATGTGGTAGCTAGAAGTATTGATGATCAACTCAAGAAACGCAACGAGAAATATGTGCTACTTGATATAAGCCACAAACCTAGAGAAAAAGTTCTCTCTCACTTCCCCAACATAGCTTCTGAGTGCCTAAAATATGGCCTAGATATAAGCCGTCAACCAATTCCAGTGGTTCCTGCTGCTCATTACATGTGTGGAGGAGTTCGTGCAGGGCTACAAGGTGAGACAAATGTTCACGGTTTATACGTGGCTGGTGAGGTTGCTTGCACAGGTTTGCATGGAGCTAACCGACTTGCTAGCAACTCATTGCTTGAGGCACTAGTTTTTGCTCGAAGATCTGTGCAGCCTTCAATAGATCACATGAAGAGCTCTAAAATTGACCATAGTAGTGCTTCAGATTGGTGGGGTCGACCAGTTGTGCCCATGTCACTTGGAAGAGATATATTGGGTGAAATTGTGAGGAGAACGAGGCAGGTGAGGAAGGAATTGCAATCAATTATGTGGGAATACGTTGGCATTGTTCGATCAACGACAAGGCTAAAAACTGCAGAGCAGAAGATTGGGGAGTTGGAGTTGAGTTGGGAGGCGTACATGTTTCAGCGAGGTTGGGAACCGACTATGGTAGGAATTGAAGCTTGTGAAATGAGAAATCTGTTTTGTTGTGCAAAGCTTGTGGTTAGTAGTGCCCTAGCTAGGCATGAAAGTCGTGGGCTTCATTACACGATTGATTTCCCCAATGTTGAGGAAAGCATGAGGTTGCCGACTATCATCTTCCCTTGTTCGCCTTTGAATAGCACATGGAGTTCACGGCAACTTCACAAACAACACACATTATTATAGTCTTTGCCAGTGTGTATACACAGGATTTAACTCAGCATGTAATTTGATTTTTCAATTTTACTTCCCCCCCTCCCGATGATTCTTTGCTACAAAAAAAAATGCCTTCCATATATTGAGATTGATCATATAAACACCCTTCTTTTTTTGTTTTTGTTTTTCCAGTTTAAATTTAGAATGATTAGATTGTAAAAGTGCCTGATTTGTATATGTTTTGCATCTTTATTTGCAGAGGCAACAATATTGCGTGTAATTGATGAAAGTTGCATTGGGAAAAACTGTACTCTAGTTAGTTTGTAGTATTTTTTGCTAAGAGAGTATTTTGTAATTTACCTACATATGAAACATAAATAGTTGGGGAGCTTGTATTTGCAATCCCATTACACTCAATTTTTATTTTTGTTTTTTATTATTGCAATTCTATTCTATAACAAAATTGTGTACAGCCCTCTTTTGACCCCCTTTCTTTTTTAATTGGTCACTTTTTTTTTTTCTCCTCCTCCAATCACCACCCGCCACATGTGTGTGAGGGTGGTGAGGGTTAAAGTTTGAGGGGGCCTAAATCACTGTTGTTTGTAATTTACCTACATATGAAACATAAATAGTTGGGGAGCTTGTATTTTCAATCCCATTACAGTCAATTTTATTTTTGTTTTTTATTATTACAATTCTATTCTATAACAAAATTGTGTACAGACTCCCAAAAAAAAAAAAAAAAAAAAAAAAAAATCTTAAAAATGAAAACTTCTCTACTCACCCACCCATTTGTATCATTGCCCATCCTAGTACTACAGTGCTCACACATGTTACACGATTCACGATTTTGAATAGAATTTAATTTAACCACAATATCAAACTATTCACATTAACTTCCATACTCAAGTGAGTCAAGGATTCAAAATAACGTGACAACAAAATTTCCACAATTATGATTCATAGTAATTAACTTTGTGAATTTCAACAATTACACGTAGATAAATAACCAAGTCATTGTTTGTATGAATTCTTTTTGTTTGTGTATAAATTCTGTTACACTTTCTTCTAATTTTTGGTTATAGCAACAACATTGATAAACATGTGGCGTCTTAATTTATGGATCAAACAACCTAAAAATTCGCAACCCTGCATACATAAATGCTTTTGTTTATGTATAAATTCTGAGAGAGAAGGGTTGCCGGAATTGGGTGGCAACCATGGACTCTAGGGTGGCAATTTGGGGTGTGGGTATGTTGTTTTTCTCATTAATGGTGGTCGGAGAAAGCGGCGGCGTTGGTGGTGGCGGTGGTTCTTCAAAGAGAGGGAAATGTGAATTTCCGGCAATATTTAACTTCGGAGACTCCAATTCCGACACCGGAGCTGGATCAGCAGCCTTCGGTGAAATTGATGAACCGAACGGAATGAATTTTCACCTTCGTAAAAGATCCAGCGACGGTCGCCTCATTATTGATTTCTTCGGTAATTAAACTTCCTACTCCGGCCACCCTTGGTATCTAAATATTTTAGTCAAAAAAATATTATAAATTGTCAATTTTTTTTAATTTATAAAAAGTAAAAAAAATATTAAAATAATCTATTTTCAAACGAGATCTCACTTTAGAAAATATTAAAAAAATATTAAAATAATCTATTTTCAAACGAGATCTCACTTTAGAAAATATTAATGGTAACAGTGATACTTTACTGCCAAATAAAAAAATTATAAATGAATTAAGTGAAAATTTTTATTTCTCCCTAATCAATAATGTTGTAGTTTTTAATATAAATTGAGATTATTCACTAGATGTAATACCGTCACATAATATCACTATTAAATTTATTTATTTTTATCAATGACAAATTAATGTTGATAATTCAAATTATTTATTTTGTGAAATTATATAAAAAATAGGGTCGATCAAATAGTAGTAGTCCATTCATTTTATTGCATTTATTTATTAAAAAAAAAAAAGAGGTACGTGTGTTTTTGAAAAAAGACTGGTCAAAAAAATAGAGGACAATGCGGTTTTTACTGACATTACGTCAGTAAAATTTATTTACAAATAAGTAAAAAATATTATAAATATTAATAATTAAAATTATAAATTTTTTCATTTGTTTGTAGATAATTTTTGCTACCCCACTGATGGGTTATTCTTCCTTAAAAAATATACTCGCCTTTTTTTTTTTTTTTTATTTCAAGAAAATCATGATAGAATGAAAAGGGTGAAAACTATGAGAAGCGTATTTTTTTCTCAAAATGATAGGTACGAATGCCTTACAAAATGAATAGTATAGTAAAACACTATTTTTAATTTTAAGATCTTATTAGCAAGTGTCTTAGTAGCATAAGTAAAAGACAAAAAAATTTAAAGAATATAATATATTCTTTATTAAATTCAAATTTTACTTTTATTGAAATCAATACATTTGTTAATATTTTTACATATTTTTAAGACATTTTTTTTTATACATTTTCCATTATACATTTTCCAACATTACCTAATAGACACTTGTTAGACTATTTGCCTTCATTTTAAGCCCATTTCTGTCTGTTTGTTTCGTGTTTTTTTTTTTTTTTTTTTTATAACATTTGACAGGAGGTAACAAAAATAATTCACTATCACCCCCCCCCCCCCCAAAAAAAAAAATCTAAATGTAAAACATGTGGATCAAATTTATTTTAAAGGGGATTAGGATTACTAGTACCATTGGGATTAGTATTGGGGGTTGTTGTTTTGAGAGATAGCCTTGGGACTATTAATACCTTGGGACTAACTAATACCTTGGTATTACTAATACCTATTGTTTGTTTTGAGAGATAGGGAGGGTTTACTAATACGTTGTGGCATATGTTTGATTCACAACACTAATAGTGAGTTTAATTAATAATCCTATTAAATTAGTGTAGGTATATAGTTATTCCCACCCCTAACTTCCATTACTAATAATCCTACAAATTTGTTGGATTAATTATCCATTGGATTAATAATCCTAAACTAAAAGTGTTCAAAACAAACATAGGCATGATTTGGGCCCACGGATTAGATAATCTCAATCCTATGCTTTAATCCTTCAAATCAAAACCCTTGGGGAGAGGATTCATAGTGAGGAAGGTAGAGATGGTATTAGAAAAATAGTGAGGGGATTATGAAATTTTTTTATTTTTTATTATTTTTTATATATTGGAAATTGTTTTTTAAAATATAGATTTTAATTTTTTATTATTTTTTTATTGTTTTATTATTTTATATAAAAATAATTAAACAATTCTCATACTATATCCCCTCAGCTATCAATCCCTCACTATCCTCAATTCATCCCTCACTAATAATCCCCATATTAATCCCTCCCACTATCAATCCCCTCCATTTTATCTCTGAAAACAAACGACCCTCACTAACAATCCCCTCACTATTAATCCCCTCACTATCAATCCCCTCCATTCCATCTCTGGAAACAAACGGGGCCATCTCAACCACACAATAATTGAATATACACTACTTATTTCATTTTCGAAATATTTTTCAAGGTACATATCTATTTCAGATTACTAATTTTTTTTAAAAAATTTGGTGAATAATGTTTGTTTGTTTTGGATTTGGATTTGGATTTGGATTTGGATTTGGTGGCAGCTGAGAAATTGGGATTGCCATATTTGGATGCACCACTGGACACAATTGGTACAAGTTTTAAGCATGGAGCTAATTTTGCAGTAGGGGGATCCAAGATTAGTCCAATCGTCCTTGTGGGTAGCATGATCCCTCTTCACCTCGGTGCCCAAGTCTCTGAGTTCTTACAATTCAAGTCACGCACCATTGCCCTCTCTCACCACCACCCCTCCAACACTAGTTAGTTTTTCTCTATCCTTCTCCTTTCTTTTCTTTTTGTCCGTTCCACTCACTCGATGTTTCAATTCAATCCCAAATACATAAATCGGACACAATCTTTTTTCATAAAATGGATTTTACTTTTTGTAGGTCTCACACTTGTATAACAGGATTGTGATTAATTTTTATATTCTCATATGAACAGATTTATATTCTTGGTATTCTCTTACATGAATCATGATCCAATCTTTGATAGTGTATTGAAATATGACAAAAAAATTTGGAGACAAAATGCTTGGTCGTTTTTACTTCTAATAACTTTTCACATAAAACTCAAGGGCCGGCCCTGGGCATAGGCCCACCAGGCTATAGCTTAGGGCCCCTCAAAATACACTTAAAAAGGGACCCCCTCTTATTATAGTTTAGTATAATATATTAGGCATGTTTTTACTCAAAAAAAAAAAATTAAAGAAGGCTCAAACTAACTTTAAAAAAAATTGATCAATTGAAAAATTAAAAGGCCCATTCAAAATTAAAAGGACCCACTCTCTCTCATTGTCTAATTTCTAACCCTAACTCTTTTGATACAAATCTTTTGTCTTTTATCTTCAAAAAAAAATTTGGTTGAATAAAAAAAATGTGAAGGGTCTCAAATGATCTAGTGATATTTATTAATTCATTATTGACTTTGGGCCCCGAAAATCTCAGGGCCGAGCCTGATAAAACTGTAAAATATATTGAGAGAGTTGTAAAATATATTGAGAGAGTGATATTGAAAGAGTAAGTAAGCTCTGTGATTCAATACATAGAAACTGTAAGAAGAGGCTTTATTATATAGGAGCTGTTATACAACATCATCATGAGAGTAAAACATATAAAAGAGAAAGGGGCCGAAAACAATCGAAAGAAGAATCCTATGCTCTGTCCTATGGCTAGCTGTATGGTTGTAGTGATTGCATTAATATATTATACATTAATATATACATTATACATTAATAGCCCCCCTCAAACTCAAGAAAGACAAACATCAACCAACTGGAGTTTGGAGACAAGGTCAACGAAGCGACCAGGAGAATGAGCTTTGGTGAAGAGATCAGCAGGTTGATCAACAGAAGAGATCGGATGGAGATGGACAGTACCACGAGTGACGTGTTGACGAATAAAATGGCAGTCAATCTCAATGTGCTTGGTGTGATCATGAAAAATATCATTGTGAGCAATTTGAAGAGCATTGTGATTGTCACAAAAGAGGTCACAGTCAATCTCAATGTGCTTGGTGCGATCATGAAAAACATCATTGTGAGCAATTTGAAGAGCATTGTGATTGTCACAAAAGAGGTCAGTAGCACCAGAGGGGGTAACACCCATGTCAGCAAGAAGCCAACGAAGCCAGAGAAGCTTCTGAGTAGTATCAGCAAGAGCATAGTATTCGGCCTCGGTACTGGAACGAGCAGTAAGAGATTGTTTCTTGCTGCGCCAAGAAATAAGAGAATCACCCAAAAAAAACAGAACCCAGTAGTAAAGCGGCGGTCAGTAGGATCTCCAGCCCAATCAGTATTGGAAAAAGCACGAAGCTGGAGAGATGAGCGGACGGAATAATGAAGACCATGAAACATGGTGCCTTTGAGATACCGAAGGATACGAACCAAAACAGCATAATGAGGGGTACGAGGAGTCGATATAAACTGGCTGACAATATGAACGGCATAGGCAATATCAGGACCAGTAACAGTGAGATAGACAAGACTGCCAACCAGCTGACAATATAGGGTAGCATCAGAGAGAAGAGTGCCATCAAGAGGTGTAAGACGACTCTGAGGCTCCAGGGGAGTGGAGGCAGTCTTGCAATCCGTAAGACCAGCACGTGTGAGAAGATCAAAGGTATACTTAGCTTGAGAGAGAAAAGAACCCGTAGAATCATGAAAGATTTCAAGACCCAAGAAATAGCTGAGAGGACCAAGGTCTTTCATCTCGAAATGATGGCTAAGAAACTGTTTAAGGCGAAGAATACCATCGATATCATCACCTGTGATAATCATGTCATCCACATAAAGCAAAAGCAGGGTGGTCCCTTAAGCTATTTTCTGGATAAAAAGAGCAGTATCATAAGAGCTGGAGGTGAAACCACATTCATAAATAGTAGAGCTGAACTTGGGAAACCAAGCGCGTGGAGCTTGTTTTAGACCATATAAAGCACGCTGAAATTTGCAGACTTTATGAGGTGGATAAGTAGACCCAGGGAGAGGTTGCATGTAGACCTCCTCGAGAAGAACACCATTAAGGAAAGCATTTTTCACGTCCAGTTGATAAAGATCCCATTGTCGGGTGGTAGCAACAGCAATCAAGCTGCGAACAGAGGTGAGACGAGCTACAGGAGCAAAGGTCTCCTCATAGTCAATACCATATTCTTGGTTGAAGCCTTTTGCAATAAGGCGGGCTTTGTAGCGCTCAATAGATCCATCAGAACAGGTCTTGATTTTGTATACCCATTTGCAGCCAATGGCAGCCTTTCCAGGAAGAAGATCAACAATGTCCTAAGTATGAGTTTTTTCTAAAGCCTGCAATTCATCAGTCATAGCATGCTGCCAAAGAGGATTAGAGCGAGCCTCACGATAGGAGGTCGGTTCATATGTAGAAAAAGCAATAGAACCAACAATAAAGTCACGAAGACGAGTAGAAGGTTGGGTTACCCGGTGTGGTCGAGCAGAGGGAGGAGGAGCCAGATGGACTCAGCAGGAGGGGAGGATCCCAAGAGAGCAAGAGTAGGACCATCAGAGCGAGCAGGTGCATGGGACAGACCAGTAGGCAAGGGGATCTCGAGAGAGGCTAGCAGGGGCGGTGGAGTAAGCGTATCAGAAAACTCGAGAGAGGCTGGCAGGGGCGGAGGAGTAAGTTCATCAGAAAACAGATCTGTGGAAGGGTTAGTGAAAAACAGAAAGGGTGAGGGAACGGACAAACGGAAGAGAGAGAGAGAGAGTGGAAAACATTTTGTGTTCCCAAAAGACCACATGACGAGAGATACGAAGTCGTTGGGAGAGAGGATCCCAATAACGATACCCCTTATGTTCAATACCATACCCCAAGAAGCAACAAAGGCGGGAACGGGGCTCAAGTTTGGTACGTTCATGAGATTGGAGAAGAACAAAATAGGCAGAGCCAAAGACCCTAAGGTTGGTGTAAGGGGGTCGGGTGCCATGCAGACGCTCATAAGGAGTGTGATTATGAATGACAGGTGTAGGGATACAATTGATAGTGTAAGCAGCAATGAGAGCTGCCTCTCCCCAAAAATGTTCCGGACAAGAGGAAGACAAAAGGAGAGCGTGAGTAGTGTCAAGAATATGTCGATGTTTCCGTTCAGCACGTCCATTTTGTTGAGACGTACCGGGACAGGAACAATGAGGTTGAGTACCATGACTCTAAAGGAAGGAAAGAAAGTTAAAATCTTTATATTCCATGGCATTGTCAGAGCGAAAAAGCTTAATATTTTTAGAAAATTGTGTTTGAACCATTGCAGCAAAATTGTAATAAAGTTGTTTGAGTTCAGAGCGATTTTTCATAAGAAACAACCATGTAAAACGGGAAAAATCAACTATAAAAACAACAAAATAGTGTGCGCCGCTCATAGTTTGAGTAGAAGAGGGTCCCCAAATATCAGAATGGATAAGATCAAATGGTGCAAGAGAAACAGAGTCACTTTTATTAAACGACAAAGCAGGTTGTTTGGCAAGTTGACAGGACACACAATCTAAAGCATCAGAACTTACAGGACCTAAATGACCACTATAAATTAAAGATTTTAAACGACCAACAGAAAGATGGCCTAAACGACAGTGCCAAAGCTGAAAAGGAGATAAAGGAGGAGCAGTGGTAGCAGTGGTAGGAGCTGTGATCTGAGAGGAATCCGGAATATGAAGATGGATAAGTTCGTAGAGATGTCCATGCTTACGGCCTATCCCAAGAGTTTGCCCCGTCCGAGGGTCCTACACCAAACAACTAGTATGGGAAAAGGTAACAGTTAGACCATGCTCACATAATTGACTAATGGAGATAAGATTTAAAATAAGAGCAGACATAAGATATACATGGGATAAAGATAAGTGAGAGGTGGAAACAGAACCAACATGACTTACAGACAGAAGAGACCCATCAGTAGTATGGATAAAAGGAACATGAGGAGTAGAAGAGAGATGAGTAAAAATAGTAGGGTCAAAGGTCATGTGATTACAACAAGCGGAGTCAAAGTACCAGGAAGTGTTACCTGCGGTGACAGACAAAGTAATAAATGGAGGAGTACCAGAATGCTGCCAAAAATGTTGAAACATGACTTCGACATCTGTGTGAGAGAAGACTGGACTGGAAGGATCTATAGGGACAGAGGAAGGTAAATCCTCTGAGGCAGCAGCAGCAGTGTGTTGAGCAGGCATGGATTTAAACGGAGTCCCAGAACGGTGAGAGTTGCTGCGGGAAAAATTCTCGGTGGAAGGACCATTGTGAGAGGCACGGGCGGGATTGCGGAAGCAATCTTACTGGAGATGACCAGGACCAGTCTTGTTGCAAAACTGATAAAGACGAACTGAATAATTAACCAGAAGATAAGTCGACGGAAGACTGCGGTTTTGACAGTAGTTGTAGATAGTTGACCTCTGTGGTGAAGGAGAACTCCAAATCTGGGGAGTAGCAAGAACAGAGTCCACAGGGTGCGGATGGAGAGTACCAAACCTGGTTTCCTCTGACAGTAGTTCAGAAATTGCTTGCTCAAGAGTGGGCAAAGGAGTGCGATGAAGGAAAGATGCGCGTACGGGCTCAAAACGGGGAGTGAGAGCCATGAGAAACTGAACCAAGCGCTGTTGGTCACGGTAAGTAGTAAACAAGGCAGCATCCTTAGTACAATCCCATGGAGGTTCAGAAAGAGCGAGCTGATCCCAAACATAATACATTTGGGAGAGGAAATCATTAATGTTCTGAGTTGTATCTTGGCGCATACGGTGAAGATGACTCAGAAGCTGATATTGGTGAGCAAGGCCAGTAGTCTGATAGCGTTCTTGTAAAAAATCCCAGATGGCCTTGGCTGAAGAGGAAGCAGAGTCAAGTTAGAACCGACCAAACTGAAGGCTGATAGATGTAATAGAAGTATTACGAAGCCAAGTGATGATCTGATAGTTTTTACTATCCCAATCCTCCAAATGGTCGACAAATGT